GGGGGAATGGGGGTACCGAGACCCCCCCACAATCCCCTTCAGGCCCCCAACTTTCTACCCTCGGCCTCACTCCCGCTCCTGGGCTCCCCCGTCAATTGAGAGGAGGGGGCTGGGCTCGGGGGGCCCAGCCCCACTTGTCCCAGGGCTGCCCATAGAACCAGTTCTTCGAGGGGGAGGGGATTGAGGCTCCCACAATGCACTGGGGCCAGCAAGAATCCTGGAGTGTGTGGTGGGGGGGGTCTCCACTGAAGCTCCCAGAATGCACTGGGGCTAGGGTGACCAGATGTCCCAATTTTATAGGGACAGTCCCAATATTTGGGGCTTTCTCTTATATAGGCTCCTGTTACCCCCCCCCACCCCCGTCCCGATTTTTCACACTTGCTGTCTGGTCACCCTAACCAGGTGAGCAGGATGTGGGGACCCAGGGGGCTCCCAGAATGCACTTGGGGGGAGGATTTGGGGGACCTGGGGGTTCCCAGAATGCACCGGGCGCGAGGGGGAGTGTGGGGGGCACATGGAGGATGCCTTTGCCCCCAGCTTTCACCACCACTCCCCCCTCTCGGTGCCCGCCACCACCCAGGGAGGGGGGCCAGCTGGTTCCCCCCCGCCCCACACTAGCCCGCGCTGGCCTCTAAAGCTAATCCCCCTTAATCCGCAGCCGAGCCAGGGACAGCGACGGGACGGAGACGGAGGGAGAGCGGAGAGAAAGGGGGCACCAGGGGCTGCCGGGGGGCAGGGCCTGTGGGGCACCGGGGGGTACCTGGGGGAGAAGCCGGCACAAGGAACACCTGGGGGCACCCTATCACCGGCTCTCACCCCCCCCACACCTGGGCCGGCTCCCCATGAGAGGTGGGGGGCTCGCAAGAGGCCGGCAGGAGTGTGGGGGGGTGTAGGGCATCAGTCGGGCTAAGAGGTTAACCCCCCCACACCTGCTTCGTGGCCCCCCCAAACCCAGGATGCCGGAGTTGGAGGAGAACGGGAGGGGTAAGCGACCCTGATGGGGGGGACTGGAGGGGGAGGCAGGGAACTGGGGGGGGCTTCATGGGGGGGGCACATACACTGACCCCCCCTCCAGTGCCCAGCACCTCTTGGGCCCCCAGTTGGCACTAGGAGGGGGATTTATGGAGGGGTTGGGGGGCTATCGGGGCATGGGGGGCTGGAAGGGGAGGGGGCATGGAGGAGGCAGGGGGCCCTCATGGGGCAGGGCGGGGGGCTCTGGGAAGGGAGCTGGGATCTCCACAGTGGGAGGGGTCTCTGTGGGGGGAGGGGTCTC